CCCCCCCCCCCCAATTTTGGGTAGCCAATGTCTAAGTTGCCCATTCTTGTCAACCCTGCTGCATACTGAGGGGATGGGCAAATCTGTAAAGATTTGTTCTCTTTTTTGAGCTGCTACATCCATAAGTGTAGGTAAAGTTCATCAAATTGCAGCAGGTTACTCTCCCCCGTCTCCCTTCTTTCTTCTTCTAGTCGAGTTCTGATCATCCAGCCATCGAAGCCAGGTCAAGTGGGTACTATCTGCAAGTATGGGTGTTCTTGTGCATCTCCCCTCACTTCATATCAGCTGGACGCTTCACTCTCCACTATAGTCCTCTGTTGATGCCTTATTCTTTCCCAATAACTTCAATGCACCTTGGACTCTTTCCTTCATGATCATTGGCTTTTTATCATGTGCTACCTCTTGAAATGGTTGAACATCGACCATTTCTTTTTGGTAGAGTGACTGTGTATTCCTTCCATCTTCTTTAGATGCTTTCTGCATTATTCAATATTTTGCCCATAGAATCCTTCAATACCACAAGTTGAGGGTTGAGTTTTTTCTTCAGTTCCCTCAGCTTGAGAGAAATGCTGAGTATGGTCTTTCATTTCTTAGTTCTAGAAAACTATTTTTGTTATTTCCTACTTTCTTATTTCCAAATTTCTTTATATGCTTTCTTACTGTTTACTTTAATCCCTTTTAGCAGCTCTGTTTCTGAGTTTATGCTTTGTTCTGAGTGATCTCTATTTTGTTTCACTGGGAACCTGCATTGGTTGGTGGTGTCATCTGAGTGACAATAATCTGCATATAGAGGTGAAGTAGTATCTGCTACCTGGTCCAGCAGTGGAAGACATAGCAGGAGGTCAGTCCTTTGAGGATCTTCCCTAGATCTTGGTCTTTCTGGCTTTTTGCCAGTGCCAAGAATAGTGGGAACTTGTCTCCATCTCAACTAAGATTGAGAGAGAGAGAATCATTCTATGCATGTCTTGGGAACATTGAGAAAACAGGTATTCATAGCACTTTTTGTATGACTTTGTGTTCTTCTGGAACTCTGATGAGAAAGACTGGGTCAGACACAACACAAAACAGATTCAATACTGTCTTTCCCTGGGACATGGAGGGAGGAATCCCCCAGATCTCACGGCCAGTCAGTGTAGTGGTTAAATAAATGTATGGACTAGAGAGTCACACTGCCTGTGTTGGGCCATAGAATTATGACTGAACTTTTCTGTGCCTAGGGCATGACAGGAGTCCTGATGTGGCACCGTGTGTTAATGTGCTGGACCACAAGGTAGGCAGTTCAAGCTCACCTGCCGATCCTTAAAAACCCTATACAGGGTTGCTGTGGGTCAGAACTGACTCGATGGCACTTGGCAGTAGCAACAACAGGACATTTTAAGCACTTTTATTTTCTAAGCGCTTGCCAAGCCCAAGGTGAAGAAAGTGTTATCAACTTTCTTCCTGTTTGGATTTCACTTGCTGCTTAGTTCCCAGAGCTATGGACTTAGGAGTGGTTAAGTAAGGGCTGTAAGCCACATTTTGGTTGAATTTGGTTGAATCCTATCATTATTACTGCCTTTAACAACAGGCTGAGGTGTTGGCCTGAAGCTGTTTCCTACTCTTCTCCAGCCTTCATAGACATATTTTAGAAAATGTCATTAGCCACCTTGACAAGCAGGAGACACTTATTGACCAGGGAGAATCCTTTCCCATATGGTGGGTGAAGTCTTTATGTGCTCAACATACCTGGAGGCTTGCTTGAAATTTGTGCATGTCTCCCCAGCTCAGGACCCACACTTGATCATGTGACTTGTCATAGGACAGCTTGGCCGGCAGAGGGTCCACACCTATGGACTTGAAAAACATAGTGACAAATTGGTCATCATTGTGGTGGAAGTCAACACAGTGGCCAGTTCAGGGCTGCGTGTGTACACACATTGCTCATGGATGAGTGGAAAGCCAGCCCTGGAGCCTGGGCAATCAATCCATTTAGAGACCCAGGACAGAAGCTTCCCCTCTGTGCTCACCCTTAGAGGCATAAAGTTCATTGTTAATATTGCTCTTTCTTTTAACAATTACTTTTCTTGCTGGTTTTACTTACAGAGGGCCTAGATCAAGTTGGGAAAGCCTAAAAAACCTCCTTTACTTGTCCTCCAAGACTTTCGGGTCTTTTGATCCCTCAGTGTCCTTCCCCAGTTTCCCCTGTGCTTAGATTCTGTGGACTTGGCTCTTCTTGGGCCACCTGAGACTGATTCTGAGACCCTCCATTACCACCCTTCTCATCCTGTTCTAAGGAGCTCTGATAGCACAGTGGTTACGAGTTGGTCAGCAGTTTGAAACTACCAGCTGTTCTGTGAGAGAAAGATGAGGCTTTCTGCTCCCATAAAGATTTACAGCCTCAGAAACCCTGTGCAGGATCACTATGAGTCAGAACCGACTCCATGGCACACCTCATACTGTTCTACTCTTCACCTGGGGTTACTGGGACTCACATTAACATCAGGCAGATTATTTTACTGCTGTGACTGAAACTGCTCCCCTCTGAGGATTTGGCTCTGCTTCTGTCAAATGAAGGCTGTTTTTCTTCTACTTCTTACAATATAGTTTTATAAGTTAAAAAAACCCAACTCTGTTCTGTTAAAGAAAAAGAAAAAGACAACTCTCCAATAATCATTGGAGCCTTCAATATACCACTTTCAATAATGGATAAAACATTTAGAAAGATCAATAAGGAATTAGAGGACCTGAACAACACTACAAGCCAACTTGACCTTATATATATGGAACACTCCACCTAACAACTGCACAACACACATTTTTTTCCAGTGTATATGGATTATCCTTCAGGATAGACCATGTGTTAGGACACAGAGCAAGTTTAAAAAGGTGGAAAGTATACAAAGTACATTCTTCAGCCACAAGGAGTGAAATCAGAAATAACAAAAGGAAAGTTGGAAAACACACAAATACGTGGAAATTAACACACGTGTAAACAACCCACCCTTGTAGTGTGGTGGCTTGTGTGTTGCTGGAAGCTAGGCTGCTGGTATTGTAAATGTCAGGAGAGTCACTCTTGGAGGATGGGTTTCAGCAGCACTTCTAGGCTATGACAGACTAGGAAGAAGGAGAGGCAGACCACTTCTCTGAATGGTTAGTTGCTGAAAACTTTATGAATAGAGGCAGAACATTGTCAGCTATAGCAATGAAAGATAATGAGCCTGTCAGGCTGGAAGACACTCAAAATACAACTGGGAAAGAGCTGCTTCCTCAAAGTAAAGTTGACCAACTGCAAATGTTCATTAATAATGGGAATGTGGAATGTACAAAAGAATGAATCTAGGAAAACTGGAAGTCACCAAAATTGAAAAGGAACACAAAGATTGATAGCCTATGAATTAGTGAGCTGAATTAGACTGGTATGGCCATTCCGAGCTGGATGATTATAGGGTTTACTATGCTAGGAGTGACAAATTGAAGAGGAACAGTGTTGTTGAAGTACAGTGTTGTTGAAGTACAGTGTTATCTTTGACAGGATAATATTCATACACCTACAAAGAAGACCAGTTAATATCACAATTAGTCAAATTTACACACCAACCACTATAGCCAGGGATGATGAAATTAATCAAACATGCAATCAGGATACATTAGTAATTACAGCTGATTGGAATGCAAAAGTTGGAAACAAAGAGGAAGGATCTGTAGTTGGAAAATATGGCCTAGGTGATAGAAATGATGGCGATCACATGCCAGATTTTTGCAAGACATATGACTTATTCATTGCAAACACCCTTTTTCAACAACATAAAAGGCAACTATACACATTGACCTCACCAGATGGAATACACAGAAATCAAATAGACTATATTGGTGGAGGAGACAACGGTGGAAGAAACAAATGGAGAAGCTCAATATTATCAGTCAAAACAATGCCAGGTGCCACTTGTGGAACAGGCCATCAATTGCTCATATACACATTCAGGCTGAAGGTAAAGAAAATTAAAATAAGTTCCTGAGAGTTAAAACATGAGCTTGAATATATAGTCTACCTGAATTTAGAGAACAGATTTGATGCACTAGATGGCAGTCATCAGAGATCAGAAGAGTTGTGGGATGACATCAAGAACATAGTATATGAAGAAAGCAAAAGGTCATTAAAAAGACAGGAAAGGAAGAAAAGACTTTGAAACTTGCCCTTGAGCATAGAGAAATTAAAGCAATTGGAAGAAATGATGAAGTAAAAGAGCTAAACAGAAAATTTCAGAGGGCAGGTTGAGAAAACGAAGTCAAGTATTATAATTAAATGTACAGACTTGGTGTTAGTAAATCAAAAGGGAAGAAAACTCTCAGCATTTTTGAAATTGCAAGAACTGGAAACAAAATTTAAGCCTTGACTTGCAATATTGATGTATTCTATGGGCACAATATTGAAATGATGCAGAAAATATCAAAAGAAGATGGAAAGAATACATAGTCACTGTACCAAAAAGAATTTGTTGATGTTTAAACAGTTTGTAGAGGTAGCATATGATCAAGAACTTATGATACTAAGTCCAAGCTACACTGAAGGCATTGGCAAAACACAGTTCCAGGAATTGATGGCACACAAATTGAAATCTTTCAACAAACTGATGCAGCACTGGAGGCACTCACTCATCTATGCCAAGAAATTTGGAGGACAGCTACCTGGCCAACCAATTGGAAGAGACTTGTGCCCATTCCAAAGAGGAGTGATCCAATAACATATGGGAATCATTGAACAATGTCATTAATATTACATGCATGTAAAGATTTGCTGAAGACAATTGAAAAACAGTTGCATCAGTACATTTACAGGAAGCTTCCAGAAATCAAGTTGGATTCAGAAGAGGACACAAAACTAGGGCTATCACTGTTGATGTCAGATGGCTCTTGGCTAAAAGTAGAGAATACCAGAATTGACTATACAAAGGTATTAGACTATGTGGATCATAACAAATTATGGATAACGTTTCAAAGAATGGGTATTTCAGCATATTTAATTGTGTTATAAGGAACCTGTACATAGATCAAGAGGCAGTTATTTGAACAGAAGGGGATACTGAATGGTTTCAAACCAGGAAAAGCATGAATTAGGGTTGTATCCTTTCACCATACTTATTCAATCTGTATGATGAGCACATAATCTGAGAGGCTAGATTATATGAAAAGAACATGTAATCAGGATTGGAGTAATAATCACTAACAACCTGCTATATGCAGAAGACACAACATAATCTTGCTTGCTGAAAGTGAAGAGGACTTAAATTACTTTCTGATGAAGCTCAAAGATCACACCCTTCAGTATGGATTGTACCTCAATGTAAAGAAAACAAAAACCCTCACCATTGGACCAACAGATAGCATCATGATATATGGAGAAAGATTGAAGTTGTCAAAGACTTCTTGGATCCACAATCAACATCATGGAAGCAGCATTCAAGGAATCAGTTTATATATTGCATTGTGCAAATCATCTGCAAAAGACCTCTTTGAAGTGTTAAAGAGCAAAGATGGTAGTTTGAGGACTATGGCCTGACCCAAGTCATAGTATTTTCAATATCCTTATATGCATGCAAAAGTGGGGCAGTGAATAAGAAAGATTGTAGAAGAAATGATGTATTTTAATTACAGTGTTGGAGAAGGATATTAAACAAATCTGTCTTGGAAAAGTACAGCCAGAATGCTCCTTAAAAGTAACAATGGTGAAACTTTGTCTCCTGTACTTCAGACATGTTGCTAGGAAGGACCAATCCCTGGTAAAGGACATCATGCCTGGTAAAGTGGTGGGTTAATTCCTAACAAGATGGATTAACACAGTGGCAGCAACAGTGGGTGGGCTCAAATATAAAATATAAAAATATAAAAAACAGCATTTTGTTCTGTTGTACATAGGGTCACTATGAGTCAGAAGTTACTTGACAGCCGCTATCAACATCAATAGTAAGGGTAGACATCAAGAGAGAAATTGGAAAATATACTAACAAAACAACATCAAAATGTTCATGCCAGTAGACTCTGACCCTGTTCTTGACATTGGCGACTCCCGTTTTTCACTGAAGATTGACCCATGATTCGCTGTCTTCTGATCAACATTTTTGTTGCCTTCTCATCCACGTGCAGGATTTACTTAAAGCCGCAACCACTCAGTTTCAATCATCTTTTCTCTACTACATCTCAGTCACCATAACCTAGACATTGTCAGTATAATTTCAGAAATATCAATTGTAACCAAACATATTCTAGCCTTTCTGATCTGGGGGGAAAAAACCCTCCAAAAACAACTATACCGTCTTTGCTGCATTTCTCTTCTAAAGAACTTTCTACAGAGTCTATGTATTCACATAACTCATTCCCATCGAGTTTCTGTCATCATCATAAACCTTCATGCCAAATTCAGAGATCTCTTTTGAATCCTCTTTGTTCTTGACATTTTAGGATGATCCCAGATGGTTGTCTATTCCCTTCTGAAAACATTGTCTTGACCTGGTCTCCAAGCTCTCCGATTTATAAGTATTAGCATGTCCCAGATCTTCAGTCAAGCTTTTCTTTTTCTTCATCTTCTCCCTGGGTTCACTTATTCAATACTCCACTATGAAGACTTGAGTTAATTTCTCTGTTGATGACTTCAATCCTAATAGATACAAAGCTGAACTGTTGATTTTGCCCAACCCTGCTCCTTGCTGAAATATGTTCCTTTCCCAGTCATCACCATCTCCGAAGTATCCCTTTACTACTTTGCTCTAATCAAAACCTCCTATTCCCTGAAGCCCTCTCAAGTAGAGGCTGTTTATACCTAGCGTAGTGGTTACGAATCGGGCTGCGAACCTTAAGGT